CTGGTTTTTTAAAAAATATTTTTCACATGTTGAATTTGAAATAAGTTTCAGAGCAAATACATATCCAGAGGAGAGAGATAAGGCAGGGATTTCTAGTATTTCTGCCTGATGTTTACTGTTCGTTCTGTGAAGCAAAGTTGAATTGGGACAGAGTGAGAGAATGAGAGGATAAGAGAGGGATTTAGATAGGCAAACATGAAACATGACTGTGGAAAATGGGGCAAAAAAAACGAACTTGGGGAACCAAATTGGGTTTATGGACAATACTAAGAGATTGGAGGCAATAAATTTGTGTCATTTTTAATCCTCAGAGTTTTATGAGTATTGTTTTTCTTTTTTAGCTATGTAGAATACATCTAGTATTATTATTTTGCTAATATACTTCTACACTTTCGCTCACTAAAATGACTTTTAATATTTTGAGGGTAAGATGTGTATAAATACATTCACAGTGGTTGTTTTGATGGTGTTTATGAAATAATTTTTAACAACTACTAAGACATATAATTCTCTCTGATGTTAACTTTAGTCATTGATATGGAAGTATGGAAAAATACTGTGGATTATATGAATTAAAAACAAGAACCAAAGAGATGACATTTGGAAAGTTATACTATTGATATTTCCTGAAGGAGGAAGCATTAGAGGTTTTCATTCACGGTGGATGTTCAAGGTATATTTCAGTGTCTGGACCATATTAGGCAACAAGTCAATGTGTCTAAAAGAAAAATTTGCAATGCAATTAGACACAACACAAACCTGAAGAGCAAATGTTATTTTTGATTGGCCATACTGGCAAAGCTAAACCCCACTGATATTTTAAGGGGAAAGATTAATAAAGAAGGAAAATGAATGAAAACTATTAAAATAGAGAATACAGATAAAAGAGAAAACAGTTTTCAAGAGCAGAAGGATGAAACAGCAAGAAGTTTCTTATGAAAGAAAACAATCAAATCATTTTAAAGTATTGGGAAATGACAACGTAAAAGCAATATGGTCTTTAGCAAAGAGAGAGGTGGAAATACGGTGCCCTGTAGTGTTGAACTGAAGAAAGACAGGCTCTTCCAGCAAGTCGGTATCTCATGATTATTTTATTTTATTTTATTTTTTTTCATAATGTTCATGTATTTTAAGGGAGGAGGGGGTTCTTAACATGAAAATGTAATATAAAACAATTCTAAATAATAATATTTAATAGAAGAGAAAATTTGTATAATTCTTTAGAAGTAATTCTGTTTTAAAAATTTCAATGTTAGGAAGAAAATCCTCTAAATTTGAAATAGGAGAATATTCTCTCACAGGGAAAAACTGTGTCACAGTGTTATTCTTCAGCTTGGAAATTAGGCAAAGTATGTTACAAAGTCAGTGTAAAAGAAAAATCCATATTTTTATTATATTAGCATATGTATTAAAATCAAAAGCAAAATGTTATTCATACTTAAAACATTTATATAAAACAGTATGTAAGCAGAAATAGTACTAACATACTTTGCCTAATTTTCATGATTATTTTATAAACTACACCACCAGTAAGGCAAATGCTCAAACCTTCAAACAGAGCTCCAAACATTTTCGTACACAATTCATCTTGTATACCAGAATATAAGCTCCATGAAATTTATAGACTACCTTTTCTTTATTACACTGAGTATATCAGTGCCTGACATAGAAAAATCATTTTGTAAATGTAAATAATTAATTAATTAATTAATTAATGCATCAATTAACCACTAAAAAGATGTGCAGGCTGCCTGCAGGAGGCTAAAAATCTTCCAAAGATATTTCTAAATGATAATTTTATATTCATCAACATGATACAGTTCTCAAAGATTCAAGAAAGGTTAAATTATGAATAGCATTTTGTATTATATAAAGGCTACTAATGTAGATTTATTTAAAAAAATTTTTATTATTGTACTTTAAGTTCTGGGGTTCATGTGCAGAATGTGCAGGTTTGTTACATAGGTGTAAACATGCCATGGTGGTTTGCTGCATCCATCACACCGTCATCTACATTAAGTATTTCTCCTAATGTTATCCCTCCCCTAGCTTCCCACCCCCTGACAGGCTCCAGTGTGTGATGTTCCCATCCCTGTGTCCATGTGTTCTCATTGTTCAGCACCCACCTATGAGTGAGAACATGTGGTGAGAAATGCAGATCAAAACCACATTGAGATATCATCTCACGCCAGTTAGAATGGCAATCATTAAAAAATCTGGAGACAACAGATATTGGAGAGGATGTGGAGAAATATGAACACTTTTACACTGTTGATGGGAGTGTAAATTAGTTCCACTATTGTGGAAGACAGTGTGGCGATTCCTCAAGGACCTAAAAATAGAAATTTCATTATTTGACCCAGCAATCCCATTAGTGGGTATATATCCAAAGGATATAACTCATTCTATTATAAAGACACATGCACACATATGTTTGTATGTTTATTGTGGCACTGTTTACAACAGCAAAGACCTGGGACAAACCCAAATGCTCATCAACAATAGACTGGACAAAGAAAATGTGGCACATATACACCATGGAATACTATGCAGCCAAAAAAAATGATGAGTTCATTTCCTTTGTAGGGACATGGGTGAATCTGGAAACCATCATTCTCAGCAAACTGACACAAGAACAGAAAATCAAACACCACATGTTCTCACTCATAGGTGGGCGTTGAACAATGAGAACACCTGGATACAGGGACAGGAGCATCACACACTGGGGTCTGTTGTGGGGGACTAGGGGAGGGACAGTGGGGGGTAGAGAGGTTGGGGAGGGAGAACATGGAGAGAAATGCCAGATATAGGTAACAGGGGGATGGAGGCACTAAACCACATTGCCATGTATGTACCTATGCAACAATTCTGCATGATCTGCACATGTACCCCAGAATCTAAAGTACAATAAAAATATATTTTTAAAAAGTCCTCAGTCCGTTATTTTTCTTTTTACACCTTTACTATTTGATTTGTCAGTATTCTACTATAAACACTATCACCTCCTATTCAATGATCAAATAAATTGTTCTATCTTTCCACCTTTCTTTTACCATTGGTTTAATTATTTTTATGTTCCATATCATATATGTATGCAATTATTAGTTTACTCTCATTCTCATCTTTGCTTTAGTCATAGATCAAAAACTGAATATGTAAAATTCTCAGTATTAGTTCAGCCAAAGTTCCCTCCAATTATCTCTGTGAATCCTCAGTAGATTAATGAAAAGGGGCTTGTGAAGCCAGTATTTCCTAAATTCTTGCCTAGCTAAAACTGCTTTTTAAAAAATATCTATAACCAGAGTGTTTAAGGGACAAAATTGTTAGATATAAAATCCCCATGTAAAAATGTTCACATTTTATTTCTTTGAATTTTTCTAATGTTGCAATTTATTTCCTTGCTTTGCATATTGCATTTTAGAAGTCTGACAAGGATCTAATTCTTTTGTGGTTGTAAGTTATTTGATCTTTACCTGAATGCTCTGAAACTTTTTTGGTTTATTCAAAATCCATATCTTTATTGTTGTAAAATACATATACCATAAAAATTACCATTTTAACTACTTTTAAGTGTACAGTTTAGTGACATTAAGTAAATTCACATTGTTGTGAGCCATCATTAGTATTTATCTCCAAAGATTTTAACTGATATCACCAAGTTGTTTGTGGGTCCCTTTTTCCAGATAGTACATATTACATTGAGGATGACTTATAATTTTGGAAACTCTTCTAAGATTATAATTTTGAATGTTTCTCTGACCCATCTTTTTCTTTTGTTACAAACTTCAATTACATGTAAGTTGAATTACCTTTCTTATATTTTATTCACTTTCTATTTGTATGCCTTTATTAGCCACATCTCAATTGTTTTTCTAGTTTTCCTGCTTTGATTCAATGTCATTTATTAGGTTTTTATATAATTCATTCTTTGTCAGGCATATTGGAACCTGGTCTTTATACCGATATGATTTTATACTTTCCACCAACTTTCTAAATTCTTCAACTCAAATTTAATTTTTCCTACATCTTGTACATTTCCACCCATTTTCTCATTTTGTTTCTAATTCATGTTTTTTAATATCTCTAAATTTTGTTTGCTGATATTTAATTCAATGCATAGTGCTTTATTAAAATTTTTTTTTCTCTCTCTCTCTCTCTCCCTCTTTCTTTGTTT